AACACAATTGCAACACAAGTATTAACCTCAAATAATAATATATTAAAAAAACTAAGAGCTCAAGCACATAGGTTCATAAAAACTTTTACCCAAGAATCTCTAAGAATTTAGCTAAGCATGGATAAATTATACATAGTAAATATATTTAAAGAATTACAAATTATCAAAGAGAGTACAAGAATGAACCAGACGATTTTCCCAAATCTCCTTAGCTTTCTTCTTGCTTCCCGAGTCGACTCGTGGCTCTTAATTTTCTCCTCTTTTGTGCCTCCAAAGATCTCTGAATGAATATTAAGGTTGAAGAAGGTGGAATTTTATAGCTGGTGTCAAGCCGGGGCGAAATTGCAATTCTCCTTTTTTTTATTATGGAATATGGCGCCTTCGATTTAGAATATTTTTGCTGCATTTTAACTTTGGAAAATGAAGTCTTTTTTTAGCCTTGGAAATTGCAGCCCTTTTAGAATTATTGTAAATCAGCACTTCTTTGATTAATTAGGAAATCAGCGCCTTTCGTAAATTATCGCCTGCTTGACTTCAACGTGCCGAGTCTCACTGTTCTCGGCTAATAAAGCTTACTGGAATATTTGGATGCGTCGAGCCTTTGGCTCGACGCGTCGAACTTGCTGTGTACGCGTCCTTTGGTCTACTTTGACTCCAAATTTGTCCTAGAACTTTCCTTGCTCATAGAATTGACCTACAATGGTTCAAAAACACTAACAAACACCGTAAAACATTCAAAACAAGTGTCAACCATAACCAAATAATAAAATAAAGGATTATACAATTAAATTACCACAATCATGAACTCAAAGCCTAATAAATATAATCAAATTAATACTAGAAATATGCACAATTCAGCTCACATCAGCCATCTTGCTTGCTGCCTTCCTTGCGCCAGCGTTCGAGAGAGAGAGACAGTGAGGATAGGAGGAGAGGGAATAGGGAGATGGCATGGAGTTGATTACCTCTACATATACATACTCAGATTACTTACATGTATATGCTTATTTCTATAAAGAGAGGGTAGGGTTGCTAAATTTGGTTTGTGCTAGGCTAAACATAAAATTTGGGCTTAACACTTGGGTTTGGGTAATTGGTAGGCTTGGGTAACTAAAAGTATTTGGGCTAAAAGAGAACACATTTTGGACTTAAAAGAATATTGATAGTTTGATACACATAAAAATAATTTTGCCAAGTTCGACTTAGATTTTTAGGTCAAAATTTTAGAATAAATCATCGTAGGAATATAATAATTTTTTTTCCTAATTTGATAAATTCGGAATTTTGGAAGAAAATATTTTGGATTGTCACAGAAAATCCCTAACATAATTCTTCCCCCAAATCCATATAGCTTTCCCACAAGGACCAATATGGTCAAGAAGAGATTGTCCCTGAGAATTTGACCATCAATGTTGCAGGACCTCCCTACAAAGAGATTCCCTAAGCTAGAGATTTTCAATGAGAAATCTAGGGTTACGAGAATTGATGATAGAGGGCAAGATTTTTGAGTGAAGGGGTAAATGAACACTCTTTGGAGCATTAATGGAAGAGGCAATAGCTTGGTTGAATAAGTCACACACCTCATTCGAGACCAGGATCCTATCAAGTTTGGCCTTCACCTAGTGCGACGTACCTTTAGCCCGTTCCCAAGTGAACTGGTAGCCTCAAAATTTGAAGTCTTTAAGACCACTAAACTCAATAGCTTCGCTGAAGCCCTCTATAAGCCGAGCAGGTTGGGGGTTGCCACCTCTTTTTTCGTCAGGGAAAAAGGATATTATTCAAATCTCCCATCACAACCCAAGGGGGGGTGTTGAGCGTGGAGATCCGTTTGATGAGTGACTAAGAATCTTATCATCGTTGGCGGTCAGGGACGCCGTAAAAACCAGTAAATCTACATTTGGGGTCGCTGGAATTGAGGGAAACCTTAGCATCAATATGATTGACCGAGTACGACTTGATGCAAACCTCTATGCCATCTTTCAAAAACGTAGCGAGATCACCTCTATGACCCTCATTGTTAACCACGAAGAGACCCGAGAAACCAAGTTTGGCCTTGATGAGTTGGAGTTTATTAAGGATCATGAACTTTTCCATTAAGAACACCACATTGGGCTTCTTGGTGTGGACAAGTTCCACTAATACTTGAATTGTCGCTGGATTCCCAAGACCACGACAGTTCCAAGTTAGGAGACTCATTGTGTTGGGCGGGCCATAGTTGTAACACTCCCGTTTTCATACTTACAAGGCTAGTAGAAATCATACATTAAGAGCTTACGCAACGGAATAAACAAAAGGATTCTATTAAACCACTCAGAGAGTCTAGAATCCAAAACCGATAAAGGGGAATGCTACCACCACAATCATCCACTCTTGAGTCACTACAAGGCTAAACTGCTAGATCCCAATATCCAAAATATCAAATAATAAGGGTTAGGTTGGCCCAGATTTCTATTCATCAAAATACCCACAAGGCCACAACACAACAAAAGATTAACTCGGAATCCATATCCATGTTGGAAAAATAGCATTAAAATGGCATAAAATGACATGTTAAGTGGCTATTTTGTGGTACAATTATCAGTGGGGTCCACTTTCGATTTGGGTCGGGACAAAGTGGATTTGGGTTCTTCGTAGTGAGACGAAGAGATTGCTATATTGTACGCTCAAAACGGATAATGGGTGAATGAGATATTGATTCTCAAAGTAGACCCATTGAGTTGGAAAAATGAAAGGAAAAGTGAACTTTGTCCCACATTGATTTGGAAAGAGGATTTCATCCCCCTTTTATACAAGGGCTCTTTTGGAGCTTATAGAATTGTATAGCATAGAGGTTCTCTCGCGCGGGGGGAGGGGGGTGCAAATCATATTCCAACTAGAAACGAGATCAATCAAGCTCGTGTGCGCCGGCGCCTTGGGGCACGAATGTCGTCCGAAAAATTGGCTGGCCTTGCGGGCATAAGTTATGCCAATTTCTGTACAGTTTTCCAACACCTGGATGGAGAGTTCAGTCTCGTGTGCACTGAAGCATGAACTTTCGTGCATCCCGAAAGTGGCTGCCTTGGGCAAAAGTAACCGAACAGCGTGAACCATTCGGTGGTTCTGGACTGTTACGAAATTAAACTTGTATTAATTTCAGTTTTGAATTTTTGAGTTAAATCTCAATAATGGTGGCTGTTTCAGGTGTTACAAATCGTGGGTTAAATGCCAAACTAAATGCTATTGATTTTTCACCTCCTATATAAGAACGAGTGTAGCAGCAGTGTTTCTACACAGAGAGAACAACACACACAACACAGAAAAATTCTATTTTTCCTAGCTCCAAAAACTCTGCTCCTACTCCATTCTTGAAGCGGTGTTTTGTTCGTGCTCTCGTTCGCCGGGTTTGTTCGTTTGGGTGCTCAAACGTCGAACCGTTGTACGTTTTATCCTGGGAAACCTAGGCCACAACGCTCCTAGCACTTTTGGGAGGTGGCAAATAAGGTTTTAAGGAAAGACAGGCACTTTGCCTAACTCGTACTTTTCTATCTTCCTTCTCCTTCTTTCTTGATTTGGATTATGCTCTAAGCAAAAATCCGTTCTTTCTTGTTAACTTGGAATTAAAATCTAAGGATTATATGTTCCATTTTTGGTTGATATATATTGGTATATCTTTTTCGTAGATATACATGTATATATAACCGTTGGGTCCGTTTTATATATATTTGTGTGTGTATATATATATATATATATATATATATATATATATATATATATATATATATATATATATATATATATATATATATATTTCGGATAAATATCGAATAATATTTTATATACTTGTGTGTGTGTGTATAAATATTATTTTGTGATATTAAATCGATTTTGGTTCATTATCACCAATAATCCATTCTATGATATTAAACAATCTAACGGTTAACATCATTAATATACTAGGAACTAGAAATAAAGATACTATCTATCTAGCTCCTCAAGGCACGCTCTCAACAAACATTACTTCATACCTGAAAGGGGTTGTCAATAAAACATACGAAAACAACCCTTTAGCAAATAATGCTAAGTATAAACCACTCAACCCTATAACATAAGTATAGATATATCAATTTGGAAACTAGTTTGTTTGACATCAACATATAACACATAGGATCATAGAGAGGTAATTAAGTACTCAATAGGACATAGATATAGATAAGCACACACATATGTATATATAAGTATATATAACATATATAGACATAACTCACACTCATGCTTATAAAATTATCAAATACTTACTGAGTAAGTATATATGCATAGATCCAATTAAATGAGAATGAGTAAATATGGATACTTCATACTAAATAGCATAAATAAAGAGATAAATATAATGGTAACCTATACTACCATGATAAGTAAACTTGAACGATTAAATAGTTATCGCATGCTATTTGTATTCATATGAAAATGTAAGCATCATAGTAAAAGGTTTCTCAAATAGATATGTATATCATTTATATCAATATAATCACTCTAGAGAAAATAGGGTTTCATAATAATATTGGAGGTTGTCTCATGTTATTCTCAATCATTCACGTCTGTTATCATCATTCATGTATGTTCTTATCATTCACGCATGTTCTCATCATTCAGTGGGGAGTTAGGAACTTCACCAAATGTGAAAGAACCTATCCGGGCTCAGCAAATCTCGGCTGGCCTAATCTCCACTCTCCCACTAATCTCATATTTGGAAGCAAGTCTGGTACCTTTAGTGTGCACACCCCCTAACTAGGATTCCAAGCCCAGCGAGTAATATCTAGCCTAGTAGCCCGGGATTTTTCCACCAAGCTACTTCAATCTCATATTTGTCCAGATTTTTTACCGGACTTTCTCATCATCATATCATCTCATCATTTCTTTTCAACATATCTTCTCATCATTTCTTTCCATCATCTCTCCCGAAGGGACCGTAGTCCAAACGGATCCTCCAAAAATATACATTTTTCCTCGCATTTAAAAGATAGTGGTGATGTTGGTCCCGGTAGCGTTATAACGAGAGTCTAGAGGGGGGGTGAATAGACTCTTTTCGGATTTTGCTAAATAACAACCTTTCGGAGTTATAGCGCAGCGGAAATGTTAAATTCGTTTTAATTAATTTGTACGGTTTGTCGTTATTAAGGAAACTTTCGGTTTGGGCGCGAAAGATGATATGATGCAGAAAGTAGATAGCGAAAGTAAAGAGACAAGGAGACGAGAGTTTTTATAGTGGTTCGGCCAACTTTGCCTACTCCACTCTTCTTCCACAACTTATGGAAGGTTTGCACTATCACTCGTTAGTACAAATACACGAAAGCTTCCTTGATCACTAAGCCGGACAGCTTCCGTAGGTTTTTCAACTCCATGAGTTTACTCCGCCTCTATCAACGTCTTCTTCAGAGTTGAGGTTGGTAGAAAATGATTGCTGATTTCTCCAACGTGGTGAAGTCTTGACTGATGAGAGATGGTTGCTTCGAACACGTTACAAGACTTCTTCAAGGTGTAAGATTAGGATCAATTAACTTCTTCAAGTATCTTCACACCTTAACACTGGTTCGCAAAAGCTTGATGAGGACTGAGAATGTTTAAGAGCTTTTGCTTGAAAGTTAGATCGAGTGAAAAGAACCAGCACCTTCTTAGTTGATGAAGGTGGGTTTTTATAGGTGAGGAAAATTTCATCCATTGGAGGGAGATGAATTTTCAAACCTATTATCCAGTGGGTAAGGACCGGGGAGCTTGCCGCATTAAATTCTCCATTAATGAGGTTTGTACCTTGTAGCCGTTGATGGCATGGATAGCTTTAGGATTTTGTCTTTTAGCTTCAGAGGGTAGTACAACTTCATTTAATGCTCCTTGGTAAGCGTGTCCCACATGTTGAGGTCCTTTTGTTCCTAGGATGTTGTCAAGTCAGACAGTGGAGACATTCTTCTTGCTATTGAAGAGGAAGAATGTCTTGAAGAATTATCATAAATAAGACTGCCTTTTCGAGGTAGATGACAACTCATGGTAATCTTTCGTTGTAGATGCTTCATGATTCGTGTCTTCTTTCGTCTTGATAACCCTAACATCTAAGTATCACTCGTCTTTGTGTGTTTGACTAGCTTAACACGAATTACATGTGAGTTATGGAAACTCTCATCTAGGACGAAAGCGGCGATTAAAAATAACAAAGGTTAGGGGTTTACATTCTAGGTTACATTGGTATCATCAAAATCCTAATACAAGTGTTCCTAACAATTTCCCCCTTTTTGATGATGCCAAAACCTATACTCTTCTCATAAGGCTGACAAACATCCTCTAAAGGATTTTCTATTACAAAATAGCCTTTTTCGAGAGTTTACAAGTCATTTCTAGATAAGTATAAATAACAAATAAGATTGTAACTCAGACAAGTAACACGAGATGTGTAACAACGAGAACTTCATATAAAGATAGTGAAAATTACAAGAAGTTTAATTAAGATTCGAAAGTAAAACATCTTACATGTCCAGAAGTTTTGACTTCTGTAGCTTGGATTCTTCATACTCACGAATGTCTCTTTCCTTCTGTTCCTTAAGCATCCTGTCTGTGTCAATTTCTTCATTTATTCTTTCTCTGAAGATTCTGATTGGATTCGTCTTGACTAGATCTTCGTGTTTTCCCTTGATGTTGAGGCTGGTGTAATTGTTGTAAGCTTCACGAATGTTTTCTCCTTCCATGATTCCCCACTTCCACCACGAGATGAGTTCAAACGAATTCATTCCTTCCTTGTAGCTCTTTCCTGATTCTGCATGCACTTTGAAAGCTGCATTGTAGATGACACCATGCTTAGAGTTTTTGGTCACTTTCATGAGATCCTTTATCAGCTCCTTTACCCGCTCTCTTTCCTGCAGTTCATGCTCTCTTTTTCGGGATTCTTCTTCATGTTTCTCTCATAGCTCTCTGTTCTGTTTCTTGATTCTTTTGTTTTGGGTGCTTATGTGATGTTGCCTTGTGTGATTGTCCTTTGTCTTCAGCCAGACAGGAACATTGCGACCCTCAAAACGTTTTCCACTTCCTTTGAAACGTCGTCAGGTTAGAGTGATGCTTCCCTTTTGTCATCACTTTTGGAGGATTATTCTTGAGATGGAGATCTTTCGGGAACCACTTCATTGTAATCCAGACCGACCAAGAGAGGGGATTCACTGTCGTAATCCGGGTTAGCCCTGTTGTTGTTATCATTTCCCGAATCATCATCGTCTTCATCATCATCATTATCATCATCTGCATCCTCAACATCGTCACCTTCGTCTTCATCTTCGTCATCGTTTTCACTTTTATCGCCATCAGTCTTTTCGTCCTCATTGGCCGTGTCAATCTCTCGACCATACTCATCCTTCGAGCCACTGACATTACAGTTAGGATCATTTTGGTGTTCTTTTTCCAAGATGTTTTTGACTTTGGAGATCAACATGGCATAGCGAACCACCTTCATTTCTTCAACAAATGCGGGATCCAAGGGTGGTTTGTTCAGCTCAATACAAACTGGAGCCTTATCTTTCCCAAGAGTACGATTGGTCACTTTATACAAATAGACTCGTCTTATTGTTTCAAGACGTAGTGCTTCATAGACATCCCTTGTACCAATCCACTCTAATGTGAACTTCTCCTCATCCTCCATGGCTTCAAAGGTCTCGATGAAAGTTTCCAAAGGGGTTGTGCGCCATTTTTGCCATTGCAGCACTCGCTTGTAGTCATTCTCAATTGATTCTCGAAGCACTTGATCTCTCGTTGGCGGTCTTGGTGTAGCTTCGGGGACAGGTGCCGGTGCTTTCGGGACAGCAGGAGTCTCAACTATCACATTTGCATTCTCTTCTACCAATGCAGGTTCTTGTGTCAGGGTATCTTTTACCTGCTCTGCAAGGGTAGGTTCTTGTGGGAGAGTTGGAACATTATTCAATTCATCAATCACTTCTTTCGTCTTTGCTGGCTAGCCAGGTTCTTGTGGAAGATTTAAGTGATTGGCCTCCATTTCCATAGCAGCAGGTTCTTGTGTCGAACATAGAAGATTTCGCTCTGCTTAAATGGGTTTTTTGTGGTTAGAGGTCTTGAGGAGATGTAACACCCCAGATTTTCAAGATATTTAAAAACTTATAAAATAAAGGTGAAATCTCATTAAATCCCAAACAGAGTACGAGTGTACGGGGTGCTATGCCACACCTGAGCTAGAGAACTCAGGTGCACAGGCTAACTAACTAATGTCTCAATGATATGAATGCATAAACATGGCACGCAGGCCGAAAGGGAAACTAACTACTTCTATGTTCCAAGCTCTAGCGCACTCCAGTGACTTAATCTTCTGTGCCTGAAAGCCAAATATATCTGTTCAGCGAGAGATGCTGGTAACCCACTCCAACGCGTTGAAATACATTACATATAGAGATATATATAGATATACGAAAACCATTTTGAAGCATGAAGATATATCCTACGAGACTCTAGCTTTTAAAATCGGGAATGACTCGACAGATAAGGCTAGACCCAAGCAACAGTTATAACAGGCGTATACAATCCTCAACAGGCAAGACAGATAAAGCTGAGCACAATTAATAATCATAACCCAATGTAAACAATCCCCAGCATAAATCCCATGGTCACATCCCCCAATATAAACACAACTCATCCATATCTCATCACATAGCGCACTTTGTTGGCGCCACAGGACCAATCGCACGCCCATACATGAGGGTCAGCGCATATAGCTCTGACACGGCCCCGCAGCACCCTGCCCCGTCTCACATTACGGAGGAGCCGATCGCAACCGACTGATGGACCTTTGTCCTACATAATATTTATATACCTGACCGGTCTTTACCAGCCTGGTTAACAGTTGGGATGGTTCTCAGCCCATTCAACTGCCCGTATAGTGGACCTTAGTCCTATATAATATTTATATACCTGACCGGTCTCTACCAACCTGGTTAACAGCCGGTATGGTTCTCAGCCCATCCGACTGCCCGTATAGTGGAACTTAGTCCTATATAATATTTATATACCTGACCGGTCTCTACCAGCCTGGTTAACAGCCGGTATGGTTCTCAGCCCACCCGATTGCCCGTATAGCCCGATTGATCTCAACCAATTGGGGGTGACACGCACACATAACACGTAGCAAGCACATGCAACCCACATTAACATATTGGGAAGGGGAGGAAACGTATAACAAAACCTATGCGTGATCCTTCACATGCTAAGAATAGTCCTAAGGGTTCATACTCCTTTCACCTAGGTCAGCGGGATACCAATTCAACTAGCATGCAATATATAAGACTCATACAACCTACGAACGGTACCCGAAATATCAAACTAGACATAGGCACGATAGACGGGTGGGCCTAAGGATTGGGTTTAGGGATAAGGGCCCGTGGACTATGGTGGGCCTTCCTAATTTATTATTGTGATTTAATTCTTTCTTTTGGGTAATTGATTAAATGATTTAATTGATCTTAGGGGTCGTAACACGGGGTGTTACACTCTCCCCCCCTTATCGGGAAGCTTCGTCCCCGAAGCTTGGTCCTTGCCGAGTGACTTTCTCTTAGTTACCTGGTGTGAAAAGTTCGGGGTAGCGTTCCCTCATTGTGTCTTTGAGCTCCCACGTTGCTTCCTCGGTCCCATGGTTGGTCCAGAGGTCTTTCACCATTTCTATGGCACGGCGACGGGTGTTTCTTGTCTTGGTGTCCAGGATCCTCACGGGTCTTTCTTCGTATACTAGTGACTCGTCGAGGTTCACGACCTCGGGTTGAAGCACGTGGCTCGGGTCGTGTACGTATTTCTTTAGCTGGGATATGTGGAATACGTTGTGTACTCGTTCTAGATCGACGGGTAGGGCGAGGCGATAGGCTAGGTTCCCAACTTTTTCTATGATTTCATAGGGGCCGATAAATCGAGGGCTGAGCTTTCCTTTCCTTCCGAATCTCATCACCCCTCGCGTGGGCGAGATTCTCAACCAGACCTTGTCCCCGGTGTTGAATTCGGCTTGTTTCCTCTTTAGGTCGGCGTAGGACTTTTGGCGGTCCTGGGCAGCCTTCATCCTCTCCCGGATGTGCTTGACCTTGGTGA